CTTAGATCACAAGTCACTTTGGCAAATGAGATGTTTGTCTGTCTCCACTCCTTAACAAATGGAACTGTGGCACAGAGTTAAAGAAAACAAGCATAAAATAATTTTGCCTGTTCTAAAACACAAATACTGCAATGGGGCAAGTCCAAGGCCTTGGGAAGCAAAGACTAACTGAAAGTCTCTCTACATCCTTGAGAACTGCTATTTGATGTTGATAATCTGAGTCTTTTTTTTTTCTTTCGTTCTATGTTTCCAGTGCCTAGAATATGGTGGAAATATGCAAGAAATGCATGGAGAATGATGAGGGAATAGTGCACTGAACACCACCATCTTATAAATCTTTCACCAAATTTAGCTCAGCTTGCTCACCCTTTCTTTGGCTCATCTGGGATGGGCAAGACATGGAAGATCCATCTGCTATGGTTAAAATTAAGTAAGTCTTCTGGAAATGTCCAAAATATATCTGACATCTCAAATCTATTTCATAAATTCTCCAGGATTCTAAAAGCTGCCTTTTTTAAGAAAATCTAGGATCTGATTAAACAAATCACACATTTATTTTCGGATCATTTTAAAATGAGTAATGAAGTTAAGCTGAACTGTTTAATTAGTGCAGTGTACCTAGTCTTCTCTCCCATCTCCTATGCCCCTAAGCAAGCTGAGGATGTTTTTCTCATTATATTCTGTAGCTGAGGGATCTGCTGAGTTGAGCTGAAAACAGGCTGCAGTTGTGCTCTCCCCCAACCGCTTGCAGCCACTTGCCAATGGAGATTAGCAGCACACACAGGAGAGCTGCAATGCAGTATTTTCCTCTGGAACTTTGAAGCTGTGTTACAGATTGCAGATGTACAATGAAAGCTTATTTGTTTTCAGTGTTCAAATGCAGTTTGGGTGGTAGAGCTGTTAAAGAAAGCAGATGAATTATAACCAGCTCAGCAACACTTTTGAGCTGGCCAATCATAATGGTATTTTGCTGGACTAAATTATTTTAGCTCTCCTTGAAAATGATGTAGCTCTTCCCCAGAAAAGGTCTGCTGCTACAGCCTTTTAGTAGCATTGTAGAGAGCAGAGCTGGAGAGGAGAGCTGTTCACTGACAACAGTCAGGCTAGAACCTGATTGGAAAAGAAAAGAAAGAAATCTGATTTTAAAAAATCTGCATGGAATGCATAGCAAAACAATGGAAAATTTCAAGTTACCTCTCCTATTTTTAAAGGTCATTTGTCTTACTGCTACTGACGCTGATCACAAGGATTGTATTTCTCACTGGGGTTGTATTCTTCTGTACAATGGTATGTGTGGATCCAAACCTGCTTCTGTCCTTTGTGAGTTCCAGGGTACGCCTTGCTGTCCCACACTCCAGCGCATTCTTCTTTCTCTACCTTGTCTGAACTCTCACATGCCTGCTGCTGAAAAATTCTTGATCTTCATATATAAAAATCTGTCAATATTAACTACTAAAATATATCTCAGTTCCCAATTCCAAAATTCAATTCTCAGAAATTAGAGATTTAAGGTATAGGATAGGATCTGCAGTATCAGAGCTGAGTGTCACGGGTGAAGTGTGCAAATGTTAGAGGAAGAAAATGCAATGTCCCTTATCCACTCATTTTCATTTAGTAGATTTTATGCTCTAGTGTGGAAAATAGAGTTTGAGTCTGCATTTTGGAAGGTTGATATTCAGAACCAACACAAGAGTCCATTAACCCTCCTAACCCTTGCAGTGAGATAAAGAGCCAGGAATATGAACTTTGCTTTATAAATATGGAAATGAAAATGGAACACTAACAGGTTAAGAAACACAGCCAAAACTACTTCTCAAATTAAAGCAGGAAGTAACACTGGGGGTGCTTGTGTGTGTGTTTGTGTGATGTTTGAATTTAGATCCATCTATCTACTACAGTATTTTTCTTTTTTTCTCAAAAAATTTTGCTTTTTCTTTCTTTCCTGTGCTTTTAAAATTCTGTGAACCTGTTTTAGTAATCTATTTTAATTTCTACACTGTATGATTTGCTTTATTCATTTATATTATACAGATTTACACACACAACCTTTTGATAAGATCATTGACTATCATCTATTTAAGAAAATTCATATAATATTATTAGTGACAATAAATTAAAATGTTTTCTAGAGATGGTCGGTCTTTGTTTTCTTCCTTTCTGCCTACCTTTATTTCCACCTTCTGTTATCTCATAACTGATAAAAAACCTCCGGATGACTCATCATCAAGTCATTAAACTGAGTCTATGAGCTTGACACTTAGGTGACATTTCCCTACACTCCGGAGTGACAAAGCTGAATCTTTAATCAACCTGCACCTTTCCTGCACAGAGCTAGAAGCTTTCATTCCTGAATGCTGGGTCCTAACTCCTTTTCCCACAACTAATATCTTAAGAGGGGATTTTCACAAAAAACAAAGCTTCCTAAATAAGCTTCCTGGTCTCTTCTTATGAAAGTGCTTCTGCAATACAATACTTTCATTGTCCTTTTCACTTTCCTTACCTAAATTAATTTATTGCTGCTCTGTGAGAGCAGCCATATATAGATAAGAGTGACAAAACACAGCCCTTTGCCCCATGCCCCCGTGAAATGCTTAAACTAACTGAACTTTAATAATATTGGCAAGTTTATAGGGCATTTTTATGAGCAAGGTAATGACTGCCTGAAATGGTCACCTTGACATCTCCTTGTCCTTTAATTCTTTTAACCTATGATTATGAGGCAAAAGACATGAGATATCTTATTCTGAAAGGCACATAAATCTTTGCCACAGAGATGAGAACAGAGTTCTGGCTAAAGCAGCACCTGCCGCACAAAATGTAGATGGGCCCCATGGGTACATCATGTCCCCGCTCTGCTGGCCACAGGAAGCAAGGAAGCAATGCTCTGCCAAGTATTTGACTTCCTATACCTGCCACCCTTAGGCTGCTGATGCCCACTCTTCCATCTATGAGGCTGTGCCTCACAACACAAAGACCAGATTTCTGACGCCAGCAATTCTCTTGCAAAGTCAGTTTCCGGCTGTCCTGCAATGAATAGGAACAAGAGTGACCACATATTCCCATTTCCTATCACCATCTAGGTGTATGTTCTGTTGTACTACAGTGAAGAATACCTTCACACTTTTTTAAAAATTCTTTAAGACAGGGTCTTGATGTGTAGTGCAGGTTGGTCTTGGACTCACTACGTAGCCCAAGCTGGCTTCGAATTCACAGTGATCTTCCCACCTCAGCCTCCCAAGCACTAGGATTACAGACGTGTACCACCACACCTGGCCCTTTTAAAAAGGTGTGACATGGCAGGTTCCATGTTCTGACTAACTTGTGTCTGTGCTTAGTCTTAAAGTGCTTTCTCTCCTTCTACCTTCTGCCTGTTAGCTTATCTGAAAAGAAGAGGGCAAGACAAGTGCCCACCAGGGTTGAGAGAAAACAGACCATAGGGGAAGTCCTTCCAGACAGGAAAAGGGGAAGCAGTTATGGCCTTTCTTGCTCACAAAGAAGTCCCATATAGCAGAACAGGTAAAACTGAGAAACCAAATATGCGAAACCCATATTAGGAGAGAATGCTCAAGAAAGGCATAATAGAAGTTTCTTAGAAAAATCCAAAGGATATCAGGTGGGGTCACAGCACTCTTCCCACATCTAACTTGTGGATGGGGTGGTCCCAGATGCTGCACAGCCAGTATGGCACAGGAGCAGTAGTTAGTGTGATGCCTCTGCCACCTGGAACAGCACTCTTGCCTCCTGCATGGTATATCCACTTCCTATAAAACCTAACAAATCTTAATTTGTGGCATGATGACTGCAGAGTTATTGAAAGTGCCAAGGGAACAGCAGAGATCTGAGATTGGAATAAAACAGCTTCAATATATGACAACTTCATAACCAGTAAAAACAATGAAAATCATGATATATAGTAGCGAGTGCCAGCCCAGAGAGAGGCTCAGGCAGCAAGGTCCCATGAGAGAGCAGGAAGTTCTGGCCCCCCTGGACTCCCACTACTGGCACAAGATCAGTATGCCACAGATACCACCTTATCAAGGGATATGGGAAGGATGTTAAATATGAAAACTTAGCATCTACCCCGAGTTAAAAATTTTATTAAAAATGGGCCACTTAAACCAAGAGTCTTGGTTATCACTAATCAACAAGCTTAAACTTCTCCCCTGTATAGTGAGATCAGCATGATTCATGGAAAAGATGGGGCTGTGGAGGTTGGACTATGAAAAGATCTATTCGTTATTTAACAAGCAAGAAAAAAAATCTTTCTTCTCAGCATAAGGAGACACATAAAATGGATTTATAGCAGAATTGTTATTGCAAAACAGTTGAGAATGGCACAAATGTCCTTCAATGAGAGAAATGGCTAAATAAATTGGAGTAAAATGTATAATGAAAGACCAATAAAAGATAGCTATATGTAGTTATGTGAATGTCTCAAACATAATATTAAGCAAATAAAGAAAGCTTCAAAAGAATATATATATACACATATATGTATATATGCAGATATATATACATATACACAGTATGGCATCATTTCTATGAAGGTTAAAAACATGCAAAATTACTTGCTTATGTTAATAATATGTTGCAAAATTTAATATGGAGTTTCCTACCCCCAGGTGCCATTCTAAGATCTAAAATATATATATTTTGCCTATATCAAATGAGTTATTCTTTAAGCCACAAGAATTTGAACACTTATTAGCATTTTATGGCTTTTTTTAAAAAGTAGAATATATGTGAAGAAATTAAATAACTTCTACAGTCAACACAGCTAGTAAATAAGATCCCTACAGTTCAATCCAGGCCTCTGACGTCTCAATCTATAGAACTATAAAGTTAAAATGTAAAGAATACAGGGAATGTAAAACACATACATAATATCAAAGTCAAAATTTAGAATAGATGTTTATCTATGAAGGAAAAAAAAGCAATAAAACTTAACCAAGTCCATGAAACAGAGGGGTGAACACTCAGGATCAGTGTTATTTCACAGATGTAGTGCTATTCGTCCTATTATCCTTTATTGTCGAGCATCAGGAGAGAATTAAGGCCTAAGTGGACACAAGGAGAAAAGCTGCGCTCAGGGATGACTGCATATTGCATATTAGGGAAAAGTTAAAACAGCTAAAGGTAAGTTGTTTACCAGCAAATCTTTTGGAAACCAGATGAATCTTGTGTTACCTTGATTGTGTGTGTTTATGTCTGGGTGAATAAAAGCGACGTGAGGCAAAGACTTGGGGCTCCTCTGCCTACTCAAGGCATAAGTTCCCTGGCTGCCCACTTGTTAAATTGACTCCATGTCTCTGTCATTCATCCCACTCGCACCCAGGTCAGAGGGAATAGAATAGCAGGTCTAGGTCCTTGAGAAAGGCTGGCCGGGTGGTTTGCCTATATTTTATATCTTTAACCCATCAGATATCAAAATATCTGTAATGTTTTACTGAAAATAACTTTGTTTTATTTCCATACCAAAATATAGCATGGGTCAATTTACAACATTACACAAGACATCATCTGGGATACAATTGGCTTGAATTTGTGTGCAAATGAGGTTACCGTCTATGCCAGTTGTTTAGCATCCGTGAACCTGAGCCTAGACAAGTAAGATCTGTACCTGGGAACACAAGTCAGTCTCTCCTGTAACAGTGATCAAGGTGGGGAGAAATTCCAAGAGTCCGGTAAAACCAGTACTCAGTACAGTATTTGGAAGTACAGAGTTGAGTGCCGATGTCACCGTAGGGTAGAAATATCTAGACTTTCAGCGCGAGGAGTTCCAGATCACTGCCTAGGAAAGATAAAAAAAAACTGAACAAAGAGCAGAATTTGGAAGGTGAGCTCTGAGCCATCCCCTGCTGCGGAGCAGTGCAAATGGCTGACCATCTGTCAGATGTGGACTGGAGCCTGGCTTACTCAACATGGGAAATTAACTTCATCACCAGGACACACTTTTTGAAAAATTGGGTCTGAAATATTCACCCTTGCAGCAACGGAGCCCCCTCTGTGAACCCAGAGGGTGCTCTCATGCTTAAATCAGGTTAAGGGGGAAGGAGAGAGTCAGAGGGCAGGCATTCCAGCCTCATCCACAAGCCCTGTGGGAGTGCTTTGGGAGAGTAAAGCTGGCCACCGTGCAAAAAACAGCCTGGAGCATGGTCAGACTTGAGGAATGGCTGAGAGTGTGGTCACTATGTTTTTATCCAGGGGTTAAATAAGTTTCCTGACCTCTTGTGGATAAGGAAGAGGAAAATTAGTGATTTTCCAGTCTTAGAAACTCTGCCAGAAATTTTTCCATTCTAAATTTATGGATGAATCTCAAGCCTGCTCCAACCTTCACACTGATTCAAAAATTAGTTGTTGTTGTTTTTTTGTTTTTTTGTTTTTTAATGTTCCAAGAAATGATAGTAGCTATCCCTCCCCTGGCAAAATATTTCCACTATGTTATATACATTACTCTCTTCAGCCTGCTCTCTCACCCTTGGAGATAATCCAAAGCTTTTGATTTCAAGGCTCAGGCAATATTTGCTCCAAGCTGAAGATCAAAAACAAAATGAGAGAGAGAGGGAGAAAGGAAAAGAAGGAAGGTTGATTGCCACTTAGGTTCATACTCTGAGGTTTGTTTGCTTGCCTCTGACCAAATCGGAAGCCATATATTTTGGAAAAGAAGGAAAAGGGTTTAATTTCAAAGCTAGCTCCAAGGAGGTGGAGGAAGCCACTTGTCTGAAATCACTATCTCACTGTGTACAAGCGTATAAGGGACTTTTATAGTAAGGAACAGAAGGAAGAGGGGCATGGAGAGATGATGCACATCTCCATACTGGCTTTATCATTACCATCAATCTTCAGCTCATCTTCCTCTTTCTTACAGAAAATAAACTGGCCTCCTGGTATCAGCACCTGCATATTCTGTTCATTCATCTGGGTTGAGGAGAGGAGGGGTTGTGGATTATATGCCCAGCAGGGGGAAGCTTGGAGGAGGTGCTTAACTGTAAAGGAAAAAAAAATCTAACTTTTAAAGTTCCATTTTGCACTGTCTACTATGGAAGGGGAAGGAAGGAAGGAAGGAAGGAACCATTTTACTATCATTATCAAGTCTTCAGAGATTATTTTGTACTTTATAATAACACGTTGGAGGTTCCATACAAACACATGCAACATTTTTCTTCTTGGGAAAGTCAGTGGAACTTCTAACCTCTCTCAACATGCCTCTTTAATCAAGAGAGATATAGGGTAGATATACTTTCTATTCCTTATAGTTAAAATTTTTGTGACTACAACTGCTCTCTTTGGAGATATAATTGGAGAATAAAGAAAATGGGTTGAGAAGAAATTAAGTGAGAATACAGGAAGCCCAGAGAGGAATAAGAGAATAGTGACATCAGAAGTAAGTAAAAGCTGGGCATGGTGGTGCATGCCTGTAATCCTAGCACTCCAGAGGCTGAGGCAGGAGGATTGCTGTAAGTTCGAGACCAGCCTGGGCTACATAGTGAGTCCCACGTCAGTCTCAACTACATAGTGAGACCCTGTCTCAAAAACAACAACAACAAAAAGAAAGTAAGTAAGTAAGTAAATAAGCCAGCAAGACAAAGAGGGTATACAGATAACAGTTTTTCTATATTGGGTATTGCTGGGGGGGATCCTAGGTGTACAGTTCATCTTTTCCAAGGTAATTATGAGTTGTTCTCAAAATTTATTTCTTAACAGCATTGCACAAGATTTCTTAAAGCGAGGAGAGGTGTAGAAATGAAAACAGAAAGATCTCACCTTAGAAAGAGCTAGGTCTCTACACAATGGGGATGAGATCTCCAAGGAAGGACTCTGCCCTGTCTACATAGCACTTCCAAAACTTAAAAAAATCCCTAAAGAGAACCATTGTGTGCAGAGATTGGGCAGTGAGTTCTCCACTCTGGGAGCCTTGGCACTGATCTGCATGACTCCACGATGAGGAGGAGGAAGACTAAAGCCTGCAGACAATGACAAGCAGACATTGCCAGGGTCAAATAAAAGTAGAAGCCATGAAAGTTCGAGCTGAAACTAGAGTTTCTTTTCCCCAATTGTTCCAGATCAGTATTTCTCAACCAGGTAGGGGCAACTACCTTCCAATGAGATATTTGCCAATGGCTGGTTAACATTTTTGTTTCCCCAAGTCAGGGAGAAATGTTCTGTTTTTCCCACCACTAAATGTTTCTGGCATCTCATGGGCAGAGGCTGAGCTTTCTGCTAAACACCCTACCAAGCACACAATAACCTCTTGTAAAAAAAGAACCCTCAGGCAGGTCTAAAATGTCAAAAATGTCAAGACTGAGAACACTTGCTCTAGAATAAGCAAGTCTTGTGGATCTTGTATTATCCTGAGGGACTAGGAAGAAGTGGACCCCAAATGACATAGAATGAATTCCAAGGCAACTCCAATGAATAAACATCAAATCAGTTTTGCTTTGATATTTTAAAAAATAAATGTTTGGAGAAAAAAATATATTGTATAATAGGACTCTCCCTGCAAATTTCTAAAAATCTTTTTGAATATAAAATTATCAACATGTATTAGAGCTTTGGGAGTTGGAACAAAACGGTGTTTAGAAAACAATCATGACTATTTCACATCCCTGGAGAATAGTCAGAACAGGTTGCTGAATGAAGAAGGTACTGGACCTCACGTCTGTCCACTTAAGTGTGTTCAGTGGTCTGCCAACAGTATAGTGGCAGCACACACACACATGCTGAACCAGCATGAAGAATTGAAATTTCTTAAAAAATCCAAAAGATCTTATTAGCATCACTCAAGTACAATAGTAGTATATTTCAAAACATCGTCCAACCTCGAAGGAAGCAGAAGTGTTCCCTTCTGCTTTGATGAACATATCTTAGACATTTCACAGTGCCTATGAAAAGAATCCACCATAACTGATGTGAAATGTAAAGGTCCACTGGAGGATCTCAGAAAAAAACATAATACAGAAAATAACTAAAAATGCAATGAACTTCCTCAAGTAACATGGATTGCAGCCCACTCCCTCATAAAGAGAAGTGAAGCCACCACTTAATAAATTCCTGAGTTCTGAGCAAATTATAATGGAAAATAATCAGTTTCTTTCTGAGATCCCAGTTTACTATGAAAGAACTGCGTTAGAGAGCCTGGGTTCAAATCAGTCACTTTTTTGACTTTACTGAGCTATCCATGATATCTGATCACTAAATGATTAAGCAGTTCCTGAGTCCTGCTTACCTATAAGTAACTCTAGATAGAGGGGCCATGTGGCAACACACTAGGGACACCTCCTGGTAATCTGAGCTATTTTTCATCTTCTTATTTCCAATAAAAACTTTCCTAACCTTCTCATTCTTCAATTTTTGCAAAAGCACAGTACATATGGTAGCAATGTGAGCTTTGGAAGAGAACAACTCTTGAACCAACAAAAAAATTAAGTTTCCTGACACCCTTCTCAACCGTCACTAATGACTCCTAGGGAGGAAAAAAGAAAAATGCTTAAACACCCATCTGGTAATCAAATTGGGTGGAACTGCCCACAGTCATGGAGCCATTCCCATACCTTAAAGATACCTGTGACTAAGGAAACTGTTAAGTTGAGACTCCATATATAAACTGAGGTACAGCTATAGAGACACAGGAATCTCAGAGGTTGGGGAGAATATGCTTCTGAGGTCTGAACCAAATATTATTTGGAAATCAGAAAAAATAAATGGATGTGGCTTTTTTTGCACAGTAAATGCCATGGAGCAAATTTATTACAGGCATACGGAAATATACACACAAAAATATGTGGGGAAATATAGAAAACATAAAATAATCTAAATTTTGTGACCTGAAGAAATAAAAGACTCCTTGGGTAGGAAGGATGAAATAAATATCTATTTATCTGGTTTTAGAAGAAAATCTTTTTGTTTGTAACAATTTTTTTGTTCTCCTTTTGAAAAGAATGATAATTGGTGTTAAAAGTTTATGTTTCTATAACAGTATTACACAGAATGTATTACATAAAAACATTTCCTCCTGTATACATTCTCTAATGTGCCCAAAATGCTATTGCTTCAGGGAACTTACTGAAAAAAAAAAGATAAACTGTAATTTTAAGCACCAAATAATGTCTGAAGAACACATACTTTAAAATAAGCATATCTTTATGCAATAAAATGTATCTGTTTGACTTAAATTCTATTTGGGAACATTAACCAAGTTTTAATTACTTTTCTCTGTTCTAACATGTCAGAAATCTGATGTATAAAACAAGAGTAACTCAGGTAAGAAAAAGAAAGTGTATCTACTACTAAAATAGTACTATCATAATTTATAGAGGATGTGAGTTGAATCTTATACTTTTATTCTCTACTCAAACTCTAGTTCATCTTTATATCTTTATGTTTTTATAATATGACTATAGATTGTGAATTAGTCTATGTAAATGGAATAGTATTTCACAGAAAATGTACATCCTCATGAATCCAAGAACCTTACCAAGATGAAAGGCCGTGTTTAATGAAACAGTATTAAATTACTGTACAATAGTAATCACTCTGCTTCCTCCTGCCATCGTGAATGGTAAAGGAAAGTCTCCTCAGACTTCACAAGGTAGAGCTATTGGCTTGATTGAAAATTTGGCTGTAGGGCCTACCACTGCTAATCAAGGTGACTCAATCCTGGTTTACAAAAGAGAAAGAAAGAGGCTTAAAAAATACAACATGCCCTAATCAAATAAGAAGATAATTCAAAGATCTTTATTTTGCCCATGGAAATGAGTGCTAGTTAAGATATATAAAAGCCAATTTAATCAA